GTCGAGCTGGAGCTCGCTATGTTATGCTATGCTATGCTATGCTATGCTATGCTATGCCGTGCAAGGCGTACATCTACACTTTCGCTATGCTCTACTATGCTCTGCTATGCTATGCTATGCTACGCTGCGCAATGCTATGCTATGCTATGCTGGGCTAGGCTAGGCTATGCTATGCTATGCTATGCTATGCTGCGCTATGCTATGCTTTTGCTTTGCCTTCGCTTTGCTCGCGCGCGAGTGCTGCTGAGGAGGAGCCCGAGGAGGCTCCTCCCCGGGGCACTTTGCCTTCGCGGCCAGGCTGTGCAGCACTGACGCTGTGGAAAGGTCGTTTACCTGTGCACCCAGCGACAGCAGGCTGTTCAGCACTGCTCGCAGCTCCTGCAAGTGCTGCAGGCTGCTTGCACTGGGATCAACACTGCTCGCGGCTCCTGCAAGAGCTGCGGGCTGTTCAGCACTGCTTGCGGAGGCTCCGGTCTGGCCATCGAGGCTAGCTCGGAGCCTGCTGCCTTCGGTGATGACCGCCTGCTGCAACTCTGTGATCAAAGTCGCTAATGGTCGGCGTCATCTCTGATCATAATGTCGCACATTCCATGACGAGCAGAGAGGGGACACCTCTTCCCGTCGAGGGTTGGGCGTCTTCGTCAGCACCGAAACTGTCGCACGCAGTTTTTGAAAGTCTGGTGTGTTAAACGCAGCACCTTGCACAGTCAACCACCGATTCACGGCCGCGATTGAACTGAACGTCCCTGCAGGTTGTTCAACGCTGCTTGGAACATTGTTCTCTGCAGGATGCTCAACACTGCTTGCTGGGTCTCGTGCCTCGCCACTCGAGGTCCGCAAAAATGCCCGCATGACGCAATACACTGCTGCACGCTCTTGCGTGGCTCTGCGAGTCACGGAATTGAGGCTGAACGGCAACGATGATGAAAGGCAGTACGACGCGGTGCTGAACCAATACATGCACACAGACACACACACACGCACCCACGCACACACACACATGCAGCATTCCACATGTGTGTTATGTATACACATATATTTGCATATATAGAAGGACATTTAGGACATGCGATAATACGTCGGGTTTCATGTCTCCTGGCCGGTGCTATGTGCGAAACCTTCGTGAATCCTAAGGGCTCAAGCTGCCCCATTAAGGGCTCAAGATGGCCCACACACGGACAGAATGCATGGAACATACGTGCGCACATACACACACATATAGCAGCAGCAATAGTGGATGTTGTGCTGCGCTATGCTATGCTATGCTAATGCTAATGCTATGCTTGCTATGCTATGCTGCGCAATGCTATGCTGGGCTGGGCTGGGCCAGGCTAGGCTAGGCTAGGCTAGGCTATTATATAGTATGATATGCTCTGCTATTCTGTGCTTAGCTATGCTATGCTATGCTACGCTATGATATGCTATGTGTTTGCTTTGCCTTCGCTTTTGCCTTCGTTTTTGCCTCTGCTTCTGCTGTTGCTGAGCACCCAGGGAACGCAACTGGGGGAACCGCCCGGGGCGGTTTACACCGCCCGGCCCTTTAAGCCAACCGAGTAAGAACCCTTCTAGGCAGAGCCTAGGTAGGGAAAACAATCCATGGACGCCCTGGGGTCTCGGGGTTGGGCTTCTCGGGCCCCCACTGTAGTCTGCCGCGACGGACGCAGCCGCGGTGGCGCTGACCGCTGGGGACTTCCCAGCATGGCTCGAGCTAAACGGTGTTTTGGCAATTTCGTGGACCGTTTTCGTTTTGACTCCGTTTTGCAGCGAATATGGAAAGAAGACAGAACTAGGGATGACGAAAACAAAACGAACACGGAAAACACTGGTTAACTCGAGCCCTGCTTCCCAGCACGACGCGCAGGCCGCGCCGGCCTCCACCTCCGCAGGCCGCCGCTGCGCTGCCGCGGCCCCCGCCGCCCGCCGGCACTCTGCTCGGCGTTGGCCCGCACACGCCCGTCGCTGCCCGGGTGCCCGCGTGGGTCGCTTTTTGGGCGGCTTTTGGGGGCGGTTTCTGGCATTTGGCATCTCATGGGCCGTCTTGGAGCGTGGAAGCGCGAGAAAACGAGGACGCCGATGCCTTCAAAAACTGAGGGGAAATGTGCGATTTTGGGCTATGCGGGCTCCATCTTTAAACCCCACCGGCCCGTGGCCGTCCGCCTCCCCGCGCGCCCAGCCGCCGAGCCAGGCACGGAACACCTGCGCGTCCACGGCCTGGGAGTTGCTTGGCTCCATCGCTCCGCTGGGCCCCGCGGGCCCCAGCTGCCACCCGGCCCGCTCCTCCTCCTCCTCCTCCTCCTCCTCCTCCTCCTCCTCCTCCTCCTCCTCCCTCCTCCTCCTCCTCCTCCTCCTCCTCCTCCTCCTCCTCCTCCTCCTCCCCTCCTCCTCCGATGCCCCGCCG